AAAGCGGCCCCGAAGACCCCCCGGGGCGCGGGAGCCTCACCGCTGCTCGGTTTGCAGCCGAGCCTTTTCCAGGTCCTCTTACCTCCAGCTTCACATGAGAACACATAGTGGGGAGCGGCCGTACCACTGCTTGGTTTGCAACCGGACGTATGCCAAAATTTCCACCTTTGAAAAACACTGTAAAAAGCACCAGCAGGATGAAGAGGGGCCTGATGCTAGACCCAGGCCAGTGACCACCAGGGCAAAAGCCCTGGCTGAAAAGAAAAAGCGGGAGCAGAAACAGCAGCACCAAGATGACAGCCTTGAGCAACCTCACCAGGCTGACCCAAAGCAGCAGCAGGCGGAAAGGCTGTAAAAGTCACTAAAACAAGAACTGTTCCTGGCCCTCCACAACATGGCTTACGGGAGGTAGTGTGTCTGGTTTAATTTTCATCAAAAGAAAGTGACATGCTGCACCAGCGTTACTCCAGAGCATGTTTCCAAATGGAATTCTTTCTCTGATGCAAGGTTCAATGCAAACACTTCTCTGGAGCACAACAGATATGTAAGAGTCCGCTGAGGGTCCCCGCAGTCAGTGTGGCTTGCAGAATGCTCCGTGGTTATAGGGGGATTCCACCCCGTTCACGGGCCCTGGTGGTTTTGTTTCATGTCAGCAGCATTTTCTAACACGGACTTCCAGGGGTTCCTCACCAATGCACCTGCTTTTACACAGATTGAAAGAGGAATGCTTCTTTGTATGTGGAAATAATTAAGTTGTAGTCTCTTAAATGAAGGCAAAGTTTTTGTTTGAAGAGGCAAGAGGGGTGGCACACGTACAGAAAATAGATTTATACCAACAGTGGGTTTAGGAAACAAGCAGGAATTTATCCTGCAAAACACGATTTGTTTTTAAAAGCACTGTGTATAGCGAGAAGATAGTATCTTTGAGGCTTTTCTGGTTTTCTCACTGTTAACTACAACAAGGCATTGTACTTAGCATCCAGATAATGCTGTGCGTAAGGTGCGTTTAAAGCATAGCAGGTTTTGTTGCCAAAGCAACTTAACTCCTCTTTCTCAAAACTAATGAAGACAGGTGTCAAAAATCTGTAATTCATCTTAAATTGACAGAGTTTGACATTTGAAATCCTGGCTTGTAGTAAAGATACAAGAATGATTCCCCCCCCCCCACCTGATTTTTAGAGAACGTAAAATGTAGTAACAAGGGAATTCTAAGCCCCATCTCCTTCTGAATTAACAAACTGCTGTAGCTGGTTCACTGGCCATTCACCATGCTGAGGGAATGAGGCCAGATGCCACAAAAAGGTTTGCTGTCAAAGTGGAGTGTTTCAGATTTATTCTGGGGTGTGAGATTGGACTCCAGTGAGTACTAATTAACTTTTAAATGTTAATAGAACTACCTTTATTGCAGCAGCGTTCTTTGTGAGCCAGCACTTTGTACTGACTTTTTATAAACTTTATGTCATTCTAGCAACAGTACTATGAGGCTACTTTACGCCTTTACTTATCACTTGTTGTTACCCAGGAATTTATTATAGCAGAAAAAAGGAGGCAGTGAGTTCATTTTAAGTGCACATTCCTAATTTTCTGTACCAAGTCCCTGATTTTTTTAATGCTTAATCACTGCCATTGTGTGAAAACACGTATTATGCACTTTAAGGATATTTTGGGGAGGGGGGTTCTATAGCATATTCACAACTCTGTTTTAAGGCCAAAAAGAACTTTTCCAAAAGCTTGCACATTTAACTTATTGCAGTGTATCAGGCCATAAATCATGTTAGTAGATGATAGAGCTGGATTACATCTAAGAACTCACAGCTAACAAAACTGCATTAGGTAATTCGCTTATCTTTTGCACTTCAGGATTTACTTGATGCTGGGTATACTAAGATATAACTCATTGTTGAACTGATGTTTATTTTAGCTGGTTAATATACTATAAGTATTTATGTGGTCAGATATTTCAAATGAGATGTTTCTAAACCAGAGTTTCTTGTCATGACAAATTCTAACGTAAATTTTTGCTACAGTCTTTAGATTTTGTTTTGTGACCAGTCATGTTGTTTAGGAGGAACTAGACACACTGGGTTTTATTTCCACTTCGGTTATGCCAGTGCCATATAAGCAGAGTTCTATCTTTTTTTGTATTTCAATACATGTTATTAAAATAATATACACCACTATCTTTTCCTCCAGTCACTTTTTTTTTTTTTTAATCCTGTTCTCACCTAAACATAAAAGTTTGCTTATGGAAGTGAAAAACATTTGCAAATTTTCTAGCATTTGTTAAAACTTAGCTTACAAAGGTAACTGCAAAATAACGATTTGTTTTTATTTCTAGCATTTTTCTCTGCCAAACGTGGACGATAGTGCCATGGTGGTTGTGTCTATACTTGTAACCTGGCATGCCTACATGGAGAATCAAAATTTCAGTGGCAAGAAAATATAAAAGTGGCCTTTTAAAAATCAATTTTCTGTTGCTTCTTAATAGTTTTGGAGGTGTTTTATTTTCTTTTGTTTAAAAAGCTTCCCATTTTGCTCTTCTAGTTTCCTGCTCTGTCAGCTGCCTGCCCCCTGCAATCAGAAGTCCACACTGTTTGGGATGCAGGATGAACTCAGACTTTGTACAGTAAAATCCAGTGTCGAGACTATTTCAGAATGGAAAAACTGAAAATATGCTCTAATCCCCTGACTGTTGCAGTACAGTAAGTAAGGCCAGGCAAATCCTTTAGATTTAATATCTGGTAGGGGGAACAAATTCAGTCCATGGATCACTCACAGAAATGCTGCCACTTTCTTTTGAAATGTATTTTTCAGCTTAATATACAGAGGGAGCAGGAATGTGCTTCCATGTCACTAGACTGCCAGGATGGAGGAACACACCTCAGTGCCGTCACAGCTTGCAGCGCAGAGTTCTGAACACGTGGGAGATGCAGCCCAGCAGCGCAGTGCTTTGTTTACACAATTGCTTTACTCCATCCAACAAGGTCAGGAACGTTCCTTCTCTGGGGTCTGTAAAAGTCTGCATTTGATTTGTGGGTGATTTGTGGAAAAAGCATATTTTGTTTTTAAGATAATTTATTTTTCTTGCTGCCAGCACATGAACTCTGCTATTGAATGATTCAGCCTGAATTCATATCCCATTGACAGTTAACAAGATGAAGAATATGTTTTTTAGATGTGCTAACTGCAATAATCAGCACTCCCAGTAAGATTAAATCTTACATGGAAGAACTTTTTGGTGGGGTAAGTGCTCTTCCAGTGCTGGTAATTTTGTGTCTTATCCAGAGAGAGGATTCCCTTTCCCAGATGCGCTTCACCTGTAATTATATGTGGAGAGAGTAAAAGTGCAGATTCTAATCTCCCAGAGCAAAAAGTAAGGGTAGCATTTTAAATTATGAAAATGTAATTCAGCAGAGCTACAATACAGCATGTTTGTGCTAAATCTGTCCCCATCTGTCACTTTTCTAGTTTGCGAAGTTAATTTGAGTCTGTTAAACGTCTCAGGCTGCTCCTGTTGGTGTACTTGCTTCTCTTTGTTTCACTTTTAGTACTGTTGGTAAATAGTTCTTGTCTTGACAGGGCATTTAGTATTAGAAACCATCCATTGGTGCCCTTCCTGGTGGGAAATTTACTTGCATCTTCTATAGGGAGTCAAAAGCATAACTGACAAATATGTCCAAATGTCAGGTAGGCACTGCTAGTGTAATGCTGCTGTTTCATCCTCGGGGAGCCTTCCAGGGCCTTGAGGGTCCCACGGCACAGACCCCAGAGCTCCATGTTACCAGGCCAGCTTTTCTGTGGTTGTCACACACTAGTCTGCACTAATGACAAAAATGTGGATTTTCTGAGCTCTCCTGGGATCAGTGGAGAGGTCGGGTCAGCCTAACCAGTGCCAGTGAGGAGTTGTAAGAGCACACACACATCAGGTATCCAGGAGGCTGATTCTGTTGGCTGGGATGGGGGCATAACTAAAAATTATTTAATAATGTCGTTAGCCTATCACTTTCCCTTCCTGAAGAGCGAACCATCCCTGCCAGAGCCTGAAAACCAGTGGCGTCAGGACTAGCACTTCTAAGTATTGTCATGGTTTAACCCCAGTCAGCAGCTAAGCACCACGCAGCCACTCACTTCACTTCCCCCCCACCCCGTGGGATGGGGGAGAGAATCAGGAAAAAAAAAGTAAAACTTGTGGGTTGACATAAGAACAGTTTAATAGAACAGAAAGGAAGAAAATAATAATAAAATGACAGTAATAATAATAAAAGGTTTGGAATATACAAAACAAGTGATGCACAGTGCAATTGCTCACCACTCACTGACTGATGCCCAGTTAGTTCCCAAGCAGCGATATGCCCCCGCTGGCCAACTGCCCCCAGTTTATATACTGGGCATGATGTCCCATGGTATGGAATACTCGTTGGCCACTTTGGGTCAGCTGCCCTGGCTGTGTCCCCTCCCAACTTCTTGTGCCCTCCAGCCTTTTTGCTGGCTGGGCATGAGAAGCTGAAAAATCCTTAACTTAGTCTAAACACTACTTAGCAACAACTGAAAACATCAGTGTGTTATCAACATTCTTCTCATACTGAATCCAAGACATAGCACTATACCAGCTACCAGAAAGAAAATTAGCTCTATCCCAGCTGAAACCAGGACAAGTATCTAGCCTGTCATTGCTGGGAGGTTACTGAGTTTTTTAAACCTTTTGAGCCTCCTTCAGAGCTGGCTGTGATGTCTGCCTTGCAAAGCTCTGACACCTGCTCCTTGGTCAGCCCCAAGGCTTGAGAGGTTTTCCCCAGAAAGCATCACTGCGCTTCTGAGCCCCTCGCAGCCCTACTCAAACCCCTTGTTGGCATGGCAGCATCCTTTTTCTAGGCTGGACACAGGGGGCTTGCGCGGTCCGTGGGGACCCAGGGTGTTAGCAGAAGTGCCGTGGGTTGCTGCCTGTGCCTGTGTGTGCAGGAGGGCAACGTGCAGGGTGGATCGGCAGTGGTGAGGTGTTGGCAGAGGCACCTCATGCTATATGCTTGGGCTGGTGTTGCCCAAACTGCTTTGCCTGCCTCCCCCGCCACGCCAGTGTACGGCTGTCCCCACAATCGGCGCTCTGCGCCGAGGCACCGCCTGTGTCAGAGAGCAGCAGGACAGAGAGCAACGGGAGCAGAGCTGCTGTGCAGACAGGGTGACGCTGAGGCCTGTGACCATGCAGTCTCTGTTTCAGGAATTTCACTTCAGGAAAGCTCTGCTTTCCTTGCTGACTGGGGACTCCTCCCCAGTCCCACTCCTGTCCAGGAATCAGTAGCCAAGCACTGCATGCTGCACCACTGGCGGTCAGAGTGCTCATCTCAAGGGAAGACATGCTCTCATCCTCCCTGACAAGAGGCACCTGCTCTGCTCCACCTTCTCCTGTGCCAGGTAAAGCCTCCATGAATTCCCAGCAGTGGTGTTGCTAAGTCAGGATCAGCCTTGCTGCCAGAAACATGTGCACTCCCTGCTCCTGCTCTCATTGCTCGCCAAGGGATGGGACAGCCTGCTCTGTAACACAGCCATGTGTTAACACCTACAGCTCTTTACCGCTGCGATGCTGTGCAGAGCTGCTGAAAAGGCCCGGTCTTGGCGAAGGATTCCTCATCCATGTGACCACTGCTGGTGTGTTGAGGTGGAAGGCAGGTGGGACTTGGAGACCTGCCAGCCAGCTTCAGCAGCAGAACCTTGTGCTGAAGCATCTGACCCCTCTGCTGAACTCAGGTTCAGGCTCAAGAGAAGGTCATGAGAGTCCCATCTACCCTGCCTAACCTCGGGGACACTGGGACAGACAGTGTCCCCATTCGTTGTCCTCACATGCTGCCTCAGGTCCATACAAGCGTTGGAAACAGCTGAACTGAGAACGGATTAGGATGTTAAAAATGTGGTGGAAGTAACTTGGATGCTAAACAATTTCTAAACAAATGAGCACTACCCTGGGATGGCAAAACTGAGGCAGATGAGAACAGCAAGATGGCCCGTCTGAAGATATGTCATTTTGCGCATGAAATCATTATGAAATGTGGAATGAGGTAAAAACAACATCTGTAGGCATCTATGTCATGAATTTGTCACTACAGATGTTGCTAGCCACGAATGCCTAACTCACAGGTACTGCTGAGCTGGACGGCAAGTGCAGACTGAAAAAGGCAGGAGCATAGGCTTTGGGGAAATTGTCCTAGGTTTAGCTTTGGTTTTGCAAAGGCTCACCAGTGCAAGCCCCTGGATGACCTTGGCAGCAGCGGACACATCCTGAACAGCAGCAGTTCTGCGGAGGTGTAGTGCACTCCTTTGGCCTCGCAGGTACATCTGCCAATTTGGACAGCCAGGCGGAGCATGGTGGTGCCGACCATAGTGGCCAGCCATAGTGATGCCAGGGAGGAGATGAAGGGTCAATGCCCAACAAGAAGCCGAGGGGTGTGAGCTATAGTAGTGCTTCAGGCTGCATCCTCCAGCTTTCCCCTCTGACAGCGCAGGGCAGCTGGGACAAAAGGACATGTCTTTCACCAGAGACCAGTTGTGGCCCAGAGACCGAAACAACATTTTATTCTCACCATTTCCACACACTCTGGAGGCTGTGCCTGGTCTATGTTAAAGCACTGTGGTCACACTGGGTAGATTCCCCCTTCCCTTCTGACTGAGCCTGGAGACCTTGCCGAGGCACATCCCAGGCCCAGAAGCTGTCCCCAGCCCAGGAGCTTCATATGCTTTCACTTCCAGTTCTGCAGGCTGCTAAAAGTAGGATTCATTGACAAGAGAAAAGCCTGGGCTGTTAGATGGTTATGCTTTGCCTTTCAAGCCAAGGGTGTCTCAATTTGCCAAGAAATGCATGGGCTCTGCTGAGCCCCTGTGATGGGACAGGGGCTGTGCTGCCTGGGTTAGTACGATGCACAGGGCAGTTAGAGCCCACAGGAATCAACGGGAGCCTTTCCGTTCAGGCCAGTGGGCTCAGAACCAGGCTTCTGTAGCCAGCCCCTCTGTATCACCTCCTACTTCAGCCCTTGAATTTCCCTTTTCCCTTTGCAAGCAAGCTTGGATCATGGCATCTGCCTGCCTCCAGCCCCGTGCACATCCCTTGCATACAGCAGCAGGGAAGGAGCTTGAGACAAGGCATTCGCACACTGCATCCAGCCAGGTGGGCACTGGCCAATAGGCTTTCCTGAGCCGTGCGGGTGTTTCTTGTTCACAAAGCCACAGAACTTAATAAGCTGCTTAAGTCTAGCACAAGCTTAACTCCAAGGAGCCCCTAATAGCACCCAGTCTTTTTCCCAGAGGAGCGATGCTACTCTGCATCTCTCCAGCATGAGCAGGACGTGCTTGCCTGCTTCCCACCAGCTCACTCGTGCTCAAAGAACTCATGGCAAGCAGCGGTGACCATGGCAATGAAGGCTACAAACTCCTGGAAGTCGCACTCTGCATCCCCATCGCTGTCCAGCGCCTCCATGACTTTGTCCACAGTCTCCTGGTCTTTGATCTCCTGAAGGGATACAAACAGGCAGCCAAAGCTGGGGAGGATCAGAGCGAGGCCCAGACAGTAACATGTCCCTACTTCTCAGGTGCTCTCATGGCTGAATCTCTGTTCAGTCACATCCCAAATAGCTCGTGACTGTTTCCCATCTGTGTGGGGCACTGCCCTGCGCCTGCAGCAGCATCTGCGCAACAGCAGCCCTCCTGAAGCAGAAATCGCAGCCACAGCTGTGCCGCTGGGAAGGGACATCTTGAGCCCCTTGGGGCAAGGCTGTCCCTCCTTCCCAGAGAAGGAAATTTCTCTAATATCCAACCCAAACCCCAGCCCCCAACACAGGCTGTTGCCCTTGTCCTGCCACCTGCTGCTCCTGCAGAGCTGGAGCAAAGTGTTGAATGTACTGCTTCGTGAATAAACCCCTTCCCCTGTGCTTGCTTCCCATGGGAGATGGAGTTAGCGGAGCCTGGAAGCTGCTCAGCGCAGCTCCCCGACCCCAGCCAGGCACGCTGCGCAGAGAGCAATACTTACACCAAGGAAATGGGTCAACTCGTTGTTAATGAGCTCCTTCAGTTCTGATTTCTTCAGCTTGTGCTTGTCTCCCTCCTTCCCTGAGTACTGGTGGAAGGCATCAATGATGGCGATCATGGCCTTCTCCAGCTCAGACATGGTCACAGCGTGGCCCTGAGGTCAGAGGGAGCGGTGGGTGTGTTAGCCTGGGCAAGCTCCAGCGATGCCTTTTGCTTTGCAAGCACGGCCACACTGGGGCTCCCCTCATCGGTCAGCAATGCTGGACCCTGCACTCAAAACATGCTGCTGCACCGCTAGCAGCTCTCGCTTCAGGGAGCAAGATCCCAAGAGACCTTGGCTCTGCCTGCAGGAGCTCTCAAGGAGAGGAGAGCATCAGCGCGAGGAGTGCCCAGTACAGGACTGGCGCATGCCAGGAGCTGACACATCCCTTGGGGCTGATGTGAGTTTGGCACCTTGGGTCTCCGTGTGGGCAGAGCACAGGAGAAAGAACGAGGAGAGGCTGCAAAGCCCTGGTGGCTCCCAGCAAGGTGCTGCTGCATTTTCCGTATGTGCAGACCTGGCTAGCAGGCAGCATGCTGTCACTTCACCTCTTCTTTGGCTCCCACTGCTTAACCCATTGCTTTTTTCTCCTTGCTTGGGAGAGGGGTGGGCAGGGATTTCATTTCTGCACAAGGAGCTTCAGAAAAGTTTTGCTGTCACAGGCGCTTTCGCCTCTGCCTTTCTTGCCTGCAGGCCTCTCTCCAACTGAGCAGTCAGGGGAACCCGGGCAGGAACCAGTTTTGATGAGTGCCATTGGGACAAAATAAGCACATCTCTAACCTCCCTCCTCCCACACTTGATCTGCAGACCCTCTTGGGAATGTTAGTAATTGGGATTGCAGCATTTTCAGCAGATTTCACAAACAGACAAACCAAAGAGACTGTGATCGAACAGGGAGAGATGCAAAACCACCTTCCCAAAAGCTGTTGAATGCACTGATGCTGGGGGGGAAAAAAAGCCTTATTGTCTGGCACTCGGTTAATTCATACCCCACGGATAAATGTCTCCTGCCCTGCGGCCTGTCTCTTGTTTCAGCACCGCAAGGCCCGATGCTGAAGGCGCTGAATCTCATCCCACAGCCTGATTCTCAAGCCGATGCCCTCCCCCCGTGCAGCAGTTGGTGTCCAAACTGCGAGACTGTTTCCAATCAGGTAAGAAATATTCTGGAAGCACTTCACGCATGCATCCTAACAGCCCTTTGCATGCTCCTGCCCTGCCTGCACCAGGCTGAGCTAGCTGCCAGCAGCACTGCCTGCTCCCCGTCCACGAAGCTGAGGAGTGTTTCAGCTCCCTGCTGGCCTCTGCTATAGTGGCAGAGCTCGGAGCTGCGATGGTGTCCCCCATGCCACCCCTCCCGCGGCAGCAGCCCGCCTGCTCCAGTAGCCAAGTGCCTGCCCGGCATCCCCCGGCCCCTCTCACCTCCCTGCTGGCGGCGGGGCTGTGGCACAGCAATGCGATGCAGCCGGGTGCCCCGGGGGGACTCGCTGGCTTCTTATGCCCGGGGGCGGAGAGCCCGGGGCCCTGCCGCAGTGCCTGCAGCACCAATGGCAGCTGGAGGCGGGGGCGTCCAGAGCCGGGCACTGGGCCCGCACTGCACAGTGATGCACACAGGGATGCATTGACTCGCTGCCAGCCCACGGCCGCAGACGTGGGAGCTGTTGGAGAGAAAGCTGCCGTTGTGAGAAAAAAAATAACTGGGCAGTCAGCAGGAGAGCCGGCCTGGTGGCATCGCTTGTACTGCCGCTCTCATCCACAGTAAAGACAATGAATTGTGAGCCACGGCTGGACAGGCGTGGTCAGAGCTGGACTGGGGGCCCCAACACCTGCCCCAAGGCACCCCACAGCCAGGGCCAGGTGTGTGGAAACGATGGAGCCCTGCTACCCCTGTGGGCCCTGATCCAGGGCTCCAGCACCTCTGGGGCGGACATTTTTATTTGCATGGCAGCTTGTGCCTGCAGCCTCTTGTCCCTTCGCTGTGCACCTCTGAGATGGGTCTGGCTGTGTCTTCCCTGCCACCCCATCAGTCTGGGGAACAGTGGGACCCTTTGCAGGGGAGTTGCAATTGTATCGAGCTGTAAGCGGTCAAAGGACAGAGCTGGCAGCAGTGGCAGCTCCCCCCTGATGCCTCCTGGGGGGACAGTGCCAGGTTCGGAGGCATGCCTTGCTGTAGCCTTACAAAAAGCTGTGTTAAGTTGCTTTGGGTTATAAAGGTGCTCTCACAAGGCTGTCACCCAGCCAGTATCTGTGACACCACACTTTTGTCTAAGGGATGGTGGGAACCTCCTGCCTGCATGTACCTGTTGTCCATGTCACGGCCTCTGCCAGCCCCAGCAGGCACCACAGGCATTAAATGCACTTTTATTTAAACCCAAGAGCTGTAAGTCTCCCTTTCGACCAGAGACTCCCTTGCAGGCTGGTGCATAGACCTGATGGAGGTGATGCTTTGTGGGGGCTGGCAGGCAGCCCGGCAGGGATGGGGGATCTGGAGGGAAGCAGGTGACAAGCAGCAAGAGCAGAAAGGAGCATCTTTTGCCCAGACTGCTCCTGGTGGCACAGTACAAGCGAGTGGTTGATAAATGCAGTGAACACGCTGAAGAAAGCAAGTTTTCACTGTGTTTCATTGCCTAGCCACACTATTCCCCAAGAATGAGATGGGATGAGCCAAAGTTGAAGCTGTCTGCTATTACTGATGTGGCATGTTTCCATTTGTGCCTTTTCACTGCAGCACAGGATCAATAATTGCTTTATGTCTTAGGCCTTTGTTGAATTTCAGACTCAGTGCAACTTGGAACAGGTCACCACTGTTACCAGGAAGACACTTTAGCAATACCTACGATGGAGAGCCCAGGGGTGTCATTTTATTACCATGGTCAGCTCCTGTGTAGAAATGTGAGGAGTTTAAGAGCCTTATACAAATGCTTGTGGGGTAGGATGAAGGTCCAGACATCTTCAAAAATGTCCCTTTGAAAAGGCAAGACCAGGTTGCTGGCAGTTCCTGTGTTCCCCAAAGCTACCATGGTATTTTTCTCCATTGATAGCGATTAGATCTGGTAGATATCTTAGCTCAGTCATTAGCCAAGAAACATGTCAAAGCACACCATTTCTAGTCAGAGACAAGATCCTAGCTTGGCTTCATTAAACCATTTTCTGATGTCATTCTTGAAAGTGACCTTTACTTAAAATGCAACAGGAAGAACAGCATTTGGCAGATCAAAACCTGAACAGTCTTGAAATTCTCTTTCCTGCTTATTCATACTGTCCATTTCACCCCAAATCATTCTGATGTTTATCTTTTACAGGGAATGATCTGGAACAATCTTCTGCGCTGGCTGATAGGGTGGGAAGGAGCAGGAGAATCAGGTGTGAACACCAGAAACCTTGGCCCTTTCCTGCCTCTGCTAATGAGCAGCTCCAGGTCACTTCCCTGATCCTTGTCTGGGCTCACAGCCTAGCAAACACTGCTCTCCTGGCCTGGGTTGTCCCTGACCCAGCCTGTGAAAGTCAGGAGGCCTGGGCATGGATGTGGGGCTGAGACCTGGCTGCTCTTTTAGTGCTGCCCAAAGAGCTGCTTCCATTATTTGAAAATTCATGGTCCTGATCTTTGAACAGGAGAGTGTAACCTTGGGGCTTCTTTCCTCAGGGTCACCGCTTCCTTGCCAGAACTTTGGGCTGATGTGTTTAAAGAAACAGAGGGTTTTACAGAGCCCAAGGCCGAGCAAAACACTTCAGCCCTCTGCCTGTCTCCCCCTCCCCAGTAAAACACAATGTGGGCTCTTCATAGCAGGCTCAGGGAGAAAAGCCAGTGTATTTCTTTGTCTCTCTGGTGTGTGTGGCACCAGGCTCTGCCAGACCACGAGACAAAGGCCGGCGGTCATTGAACTGGGAGAAAAAAAGTAATGAAAGCAGAGGAATTTGGGTGGGAGGGGGAAGAAGCTGCTTCTGCCTCCGCAGGGCTGTGCTCGCAATCCCAGCACACAGAGCAGCGTTGCAGAGAGCAGGTTTCCTGGCTCTGTGCCATGGTTACTGTGTCCATTTCTGAACCCACAAACATGGCAGCCAGAGATAAGCTAGGGTCCTCATGGGAAGCCTCAAATGATGCCTAGAAGCAGAAACACCAGGACACATCTGGGAATTGGGCTGGTGCTTGTTGAAGTTGTTGGGGGGAGAAGACAGGCCCTATTTAGTGCCCTGCACATAGGTCCAGGGAGCCCAAAGGGTTGTGTCTGCCCCAGGAGGGACCAGCTGGGCCCTGCGCCATCTCTGCTAGCCCTGTGCAAATGTCACCTCTGCTTCTGCCTGAGGACAAGGAGAGACTGGGCAGGCTCCATGAGATGAGCAGTGGGTCTTTCTTGCCCCCACAGAACAGACTCGCAAGGTTAAGATAGTGCTTCCCTCTTGGGAACCACAGGCAGAGGTAGTTTTACATCCACCTTCATCTTATAAATCCTGGGCTCTGGCTAACTGCCATTTCCCCCGATCCCTTTGTTCCCTCGCCATCCTCCCAGCACAACCATGCACTAGGGTTGAAGAGGAACAGCTCTGGACCTTGCTGCTGGCCCACCAGGTGCTGTCATCTTGGCAGTTTTTGTGACCCCTTAAGAAAACAGCGAACAGTGCTGCTGCCACTGAAACAAATTCTCTGGAGTTGAAAACACGGGGATGCTCTTCACCTTGTCTGAAACATGGCCTTGAGCTTAGGTCAGTTCCTGGCTGAATTCAGCTGAAACAACAAGAGACTACTCTTAAGTTCATTAAAAAGATATATGAATATGTTCTCCATCAAACGTGCGCCGAGAAAAGGCATTACAGCATCGATCCAGAGTATCTTTCCAGCTCCTGGTACAGACAGCAGCCTCAGCAGGAGAGGGCAGCAGGCTTGCTGGTGGAGCAGGGTGCTCACACCCTTTGCTGCATGGAGCCAAGTTACCTTAACAGGGACATAGGAAACCATGGGGATTTTATAGATGCTTCTAAAACACCTGTGTTTCTGCTTGAAATATTTCTGCTGACAGAGTGACCATTTTGGGTCTCTATCTTCTCTCAAAGCAGAGGCAGCCATATTTAGACCATGTTCTGTAAAATCCCTTTGATCAGATCCCTTTTAATACAAACTAGATGATATCCCATGGCTTTACAGTACCTTTGCAATTTTTGCTCTAGCAGCATAACAAATAGCAGCTGGCAGATAAGACCTTAGTGTCATGTGCTGGACTGCAATAAAAGTGG